CCTCAAAGGAAGACAGATAGATTGCAATGCGATGCTGTGCAAGTGTGGCTTGTCAGCCAACAAACATTGCACAGAGGGCAGTCGTGTGGGTGGCTCGTGTCGGCCGTTTCGTGGGCTCCTACAAAAGTGTGCAGGAGCCACCCTACATCAAGAGGCAAAGTGCAACCCGAAAGAGCCGGCAAAGAAGCCCTAAGGGAATAATCAGTCCTGCACAGAAACAGGATATTTTCTACCCCATCATCCGCAGGCCGGCATGCGATTTCACAAAGCCCTTCTGCTGAGACCACAGCACATGCCACCCACAGTGTCAACCCCTCACCAAAAGCCTTGGCGACAAACCTGCTGCGCTGCTGAGTGCAACAGAGGGTGCTAGTGGCCGCAGGAGCAGCGTGATTTGACAGTGTGCGACCTGCGGCCTGCATGCTTGCGCCGTCTGTGCAGATATGCTGGCAGCCACGCCACAGGCGCGATCAAAGCCATTTTTCATTGGCGGCAACGCATAACAGACAAGTTCAGTACAGTTGCTGCCTCTTGCAGCAGGCGCGTGTGGTGGGTGAAAGAAAGTGCAGAGAGTGCGTATGAGCGGGGTAGCAACGACCTAGTAACAACCGGCAGGGCTGAATGCAACAAAATGGACAACAGCACCGGCTGCTTGCTTCCGCCTCGGCACGCACACCAAATCAGCACATAGGCTTGGCTGGTCACGCCGCATTGCATACATACCATAGAAGCATGGCGTGCGTTCCTGCGGAGCATTCAGCTCTTGAGGTGCTGCTTGCCTCTATTGCGCGAAGGGGGGCGAAAAGAGGTCAGCGTAACCCTCTCAATTGCCAAAACACTTACCAACTCACCTAGAAGCGTGTTCAGGGCTTCCATTGCACCTGGCAGGTTGGAAATTTGGTGTGATGGGTGTCATGGGAGAAAGGCGTCAAGAGTAAGCCAGGTGGTGCCTGCAGGTGTACATCCTACCCCATTGACTTGCTCGTGCGGCTACCATCTGTTTCATAGAGTGCATGACGCCTGTCGTGTCTACGACGCTGCAAAGGCTGCAGGAAGCTACCAATCGCGCCCAGCTTAAGCTGGTGCCTGGACCGATCATTAGCAAAACAACCTTGCACTCACACGCACGCCTCTTCTAAATCCTGTCTGACGCTCAACTCCCCCCAGGACGCCATGCTAATACCCCATCCCCACAACAAACATGCAACAAATCGAATACATTCAAACACACACACACACACACATACACACACACACGCACACACACACACACGCAC